TCGACTCTGATTGGTGGATTTCCTTACGATTTACGTCTTACGTCTTCCGTCGATTCGTGTGTGAAGGCCTTAACGCACAAGCTTTGGCGTATCCTGATCTGTCAGGTCGGGGACTACGACCGTCGTATATCGCTACGCCATGTTATGTGCTTTGACCCTTATTAATAGCGTTTTTTCTTGGTGCACTATGGCTGAGTTTCCACTGAGCGCGTCACGCGTCGCGTCGTCACAAGTTAACCAATCAAAACATCCCATTTCATTACATTCTTGTGACGGGATCGAAATGGGATGTTTTGATTGGTTCAACTCGGACGACGCGACGCGTGACGCACTCAGTGGAAACTCAGCCTATCGCCTACTAGTGCAACACTAGTGCAACACTAGTGCAACGCTATTGGGTATGCAGGGCAGTGCAGGGCGGTAGTGCAGCCAAGAAAAAACGCTATAACCTACATTCGCTGCGTTTCGAAATTCACTGCCGGTCCTGAAAATCTATAATATACGTGACGCAAACTATAGATTTTCAGTACTTGCAGTGAATATCGAAACATAGCCATTGATAGGAATGGACAAAAATGACGCAGCCAATCAGGACGCGCCGCCTCTCCCTTTCGTTCGTAACCTCACGTTACGTTCCGCGTCTAGTTCGTCTCTCGCGTTTATGAACAACAACCCTGACTCTGGGCATCAAGTATCGAGTACTGCGTACTTTTGTGTTCGTTCCACCTGTGAATCCAAACGCGTTAACGGTAGGAGCGATTTTCAAGGTAAAATAGTACGTTATTCGGATAGTAAAACGGTGGTCAAGGAAAGGATAGGATAGTTGATATATCACGCACGTGGCCGACCGTTCGAATTGTATCGCTGAAAGGGCGTGTAACTTCGTAAGCCGCTCGTTTCTTCGGGGCTCTCTCGGTCCTCCTCCTCGTCCCTCTTCGCTTATTGGTAAGAGTTCAATATATACGTCAACGGCGATCAGGAGAATTCGTACGACGCATGTGTCGTGATAAAGCAAAACTTTTTCTGAGTCACGTTTGACACATTCGGATTTATTATTCAGAACTTTCTGAATAATAAATGAAATGCCGATTGTAAACGTCGTACACGTTTTGCCTGGCGAATTTCGTTCGCTTAATTGTCACAAAACGAGGGTACATGTACGTTTAGGTGTGCTTCAAAAAGTTAGGATTAAATAAACTAAAGGCTCTTAACGATAAGCATTCGGTAAACTTGCTGGAAGTTGAAGAAACCTCCGTCAGCACATTCCTCAAATATTTATCGATTCTCCTGAATATCTCTGGAAATTTTTCATTCTTTTTGATTAATTTTCAATCCGTCTGATTGAGCACAGCTTTTAGTTTATTCAATTATTTCATTTTTTTTAGATTGCTTTATTTTTTTTTAAATAATATTAATCGATAAGTGTGATTGGCCTATCAATTTTGCAATAAGAATAAATTAAATAAAGATATTTGCGATGTGACGATTTTTCTAAACTCTCTGGACCCTGTCGATTATTTGATATTTTTCAATTTTTATGAATCAAGTTGATAAGCTAAGATTCTGGTATAAGTGCGCTCCAAATTGTAGCGCACATCAGTTAGCACACGGTAATAGATCTCGTTATCGGTATCAGATTAGCAGCTGTGGAGAGGTCTAACACATTTATCTGAATATGCGTTACATATATCCATGGGATGTCGTCTATTACAGATTGTCTTAGCCGACTATTACAGATGCCATACATTCTAGTACGTGGTAACCTAGCGTCGTACAGTCATAAATATCCCTGGAGGGTTTTAGTGTCAGGGCTTAAAGGTACGAAAAACTCCTCTCTGTATTCGCCCTTACTCGCAAATATATGTATACATGTTACGCTTTGCTTTGTCAAAAACTTTTTCAATTAGATAACGCGCAACGCGACACGTGAGTCATATATTTCTGAGCTCTGTATCACGTTTTGTATAGTTAATCTTTCTACACGCACCAGATAATAGAAATAGCGTTGCGAGATATAGCAAGATGTAACGTACACTTCGGGTAAATTGACACACCTCGAAGATTAGAGCTGATAATGATAGCTAGAAATGTGTTGCAGGTGTGACAAATCCAAGATTTTTAGGTGAGAGTAATGTTTAATTATGTTATAGCGGCTGACATAGACCAGCTGGGTCGCTTCTCTTCTATAGGATATTGCGATGACTCGACGATAGTATATTTGCAGCATCCTTGCATAATATTGACTGCTTTAGAGGTACTCGGTTACAAAGTCGTCGCATCGTCCAGTACTAGCATTAAGCAGGATTATAATGAGTACATGTGGACTATGAGAAAAGAGTTCGCGGAACCCGAACCTGAGCCCGTTGTAAAAGCTGGTATGGCTCGAAATTCGTCTATTGCTACTTCAAGAGCACCCTGATATAATAGTATAAGTGTGACGTTTCATTAGGCACAAAACCATTCTAATGCTTCCAAGATAAAGCTCACCTACTTTCATTATCTAGTCTTCATTTGACAATCTTAATTCTCTCTCTCATTCTCGCAACGTAAACAAGTTGTTACAGCATGTGCATACATTAAAATTAATTCAGGGACAGCATGTCGTACTGAAACTAGCAAACATATGAATTATTGCTTGGGTTGGATAATTATTGTTCCTTAATTAGTTTATCCTTCCGTATAACAAGTTAATCCTTGCGTAAAACAAGTACAGCGAAGAAATGTAACAAAAAAATCAATTAAAAGCATTTATATGAAATTAATTGACCGATATAAGTACATTGATATAGAAAATGATGACACGTCTGGCGAGTCTAATAAAAATGATAGCATAATATTGATATTTGCAGATATTTTTATCCGCAGAGAAATAAAGAATAAAAAAAAAAGAAATATGACAGTATTATCTTGAAGTATCACTGGAATCTAAATCAAATAAGTTTGCGATATAAAATTATATGCTGTATTAGCTAGTGCTTTTGTGCTATCGAGTTATTACGCTTATATTCATAAAAAAGATCCTTTATCCCCGCGTATATTACGTGTAACTGTCAACTGCATTACTCAGAGATGTTTGAATTGGGTTAATATTTCATTATGTACAATATAGCTTGTCAAAGATATGCCGACTGCCAGTGTTCGTGTGGTCGGTCGCCGCCCATACATTTGTAAAAAAAAAAAAAAAAAATGAATAGAAGAGTCGTAAAAGTAAAATGAAAGAAATCCAATTTCATATATTGGGCAGAAGCCATTCAATATATTATCCTCTTTGTGTATTTCTGCCTAAAATCTCATAGTTCTTTCACGGAAACCTTTGTCCTTTGTCGGCAAGCAAATTAGTGATTCGACAAACTCGTATAATACAATCGTAGTATATAGATAAGTGAAATGAGCGCACGAAATCGTGATGCATTTTAAAAAAAGAGCACGAGAAGCAGTTAATTGGATAAAACAAAGAGTTAAATGATGTTGCATGTAACATAATTAAGTACGGACTACAATCTCTTCATTGCCTATTTAAAATAATTCAAGAATATGATATAAAAAGAATTTATACATAGCGATTCCTTATTCTTTCCTGACCTCTTTCTCTCCAATCGCAGTAAATGCAACATTTTCTTTTCTAGCTATTCTTTCGCTACATTTCACATTTGCTACTTAATTGCGCGTTGTTGTAGCTTTTCCTATCTTTCGCTCGTTTTCTTACCCTAAATTGATTACGCGTACATTTCCATTCTGTACACATGGATACGAAAGAAGACTGAATATGTAGGTGGAATATGAAATAGGATTGAAAAAGAAGGAACGAATAGAGAACCTGCTTGGTGTTCCGATGAAAGAATATGGAATTTTATACGACTTATACTTATATTCTTAGAAGAAAGTATGACAAAGAATATTTTATAATTATATTGAAACAGAAGGAATGAAATATTTTTCTGCTTTTGACATTATATTTATTAAATGCTACATATGCATGTAATTAACGATAATTATTGTCGTTTTTTCTAAAAACTTTTTATTGCATTTTGCGCACACATATGTAACAACTTGTTTTCTGCACCATAGCAATAAAATATAGGTATCTATAAATTAAGCAATTCATATATGTTCCGATTCGTATAAAATTCTGAGTTATAACATAAATAAAAATAAATTTTTATTTTTTACTAAAAAAATATATACATATAAAGAGAATTATACGATTTGACGAAAAATATTTTGTTATAATAAAAATAAATAGTTTTCAAGTTAATATTTTTAATATAAATAGTTAATATTAATAGTTTAAAATAATATTCAAAATATATTTGAAGAAAATATTTTATGTGATACGGGATATGTATACTGTAATTAGCTGCACATATTTATATATTTTGTATTTAGAAGTTTCGATATGCAGGAAAATCATAAACAATGTATTTAATGTCACCTAATATCGCAAAACTTTAATAGTAATGTTTTTTCACTCAGAATTTTATGCATTATCGGAAAATACGCGAGCTTTCATTGAAAGTTCGTAGTTCTAGCATTATCACTTGCATATACATTATGTGTATGTTTATATATGTGCTAATATCACATTCTCCTAATAGAAAAAAAATTATTTAGAAATTATCTCCAATAGTCTAAGTAATATATCTATAACAAAAAGAACAGAAAATAATTATAACTATAATTTGCCGTCAAACTTTCATTTGTTCCCCTCCGAAGTGCTTGTTATTCTGATAAAATTTGAGTAACTATGTACTATCTCTCGTTATATCATTTCTTCAATACTTTGCTACTACCTCCTAATTGTTTGTTTTCTATTGGAGATACGGTGAATCGCGTTAACGTATCAGCCCCAACAACGTTTCATTCGATCGGAATGTGCCATTTATCCTGAAAGTGAGTTTATAAATCACATTTTTTTATGTATAATCTCAGGATATATATTTCGTCCGTGTGAATCATTTTTTACACAAGATAATTGTGCCCTTAATTGTACTCTTTATAAGGTAATTGTGTAAGATGTTAGAAAAACAATTTAGAATTTTTTATTGTCCAGGAAAGCACTTTAAATCTTAAAATATTTTATTTATGTAAACTTAATTTAATTATTTCTTTATTGACGAATATGAATTCTGAAGCTCCATATATAATATTTTTAAAGTAACTCAAAAACTAATCGCGTTTTTATATCAAACTTCAACGGGAGCTCAATGAGGGACTCCCGTTTTTATTCTGATCGAACGTTGCTGTAACTATTCGAAGGGAGAGAATATCACGGACAGAAGACTCTTGTGATAATAAAAGCACCTCGCGATCGCAGATGTTTTCCTGAATTTTCCATTAAGTCCCACAAAAAGAAACTCCTCGAAGTGATTCTTTCATTACTTTCGAGATAAACGGCTCCGATCGTCACTCACGTGCGTCACGTTTGCTTTTCTTCTAGAAGTAAAGCACAACGAGGTATAACGATACTTTTAGCGCGGCAATGGCAACGACAACCACGTCCAAAAAGCAGAACACCGCCGACGAGGACGACGACACTTTCTATTACATCGGTGTAAAAGCGTCCCCGTTTGCGACCGATTGTGCGGTCTTCGGTTTACCACCGAACGAGGCGTCGGCCTTACGCAGCCGCTTCCCGCTGTCCCCCAGTAGCCCGAATGTCGTGAATGGAATTATGATAAAAGGTTAATGATCTTGAATTTCAACGACGCCAGACAGTTGTATACGGACCGCTCCGCAAAATCCCGAAAAGATGCAAGATCTCTCTCGGCTACGATGCAATTTTTATTCGCGCGCAAACGCTATCTCTTTGCGAATCTCTTGCGAAAATATGCACATGTGCATGGCGGAGAGTATAGCGATAGTCAATTTGATTGTGAAATCTCTGTCAGTTGTATAGAATCACCGGCTATGGCGAACGCTAGAAATTTAAATAACTTGTATAATTATCTACGATTTTGTAAAATCATGATTTTCTAAGAACATGTAAAGTAAATCATTGATTGTATGAAATCATCAGGGAATACCCTTAATTTCATTTGCGACAAAAATTATGTAACAAAAATTCAGGCATTCGTAAATCAATTAAAATTGTAGACAATCTATTAAGATTTGTGGCTATTAATAGTGATATAATTAACGTTATTTTATGTTGTTTAACATAAAATTAATCGGGATGAAGTATATCGTCATGTATTTTTATTTTGTTTGCCAGTTGAAAGAAGTATGCAGCTAAAAAGTTAACATTTCCAATGCAATAATATTTCCAATGCAACTTGTTGATTAAATATCTATGATTAAAATAAATATTAATTTGAATTTATTAGCCAATGAGATTTTGGATTTTTCGTGAGGGTGATCCGTCCTTTGTAACAATTATAATTATTTAGTAATATTACTAAAATATTTTATCGACAAAGAATGACGAAATAGTTTTTTTAAAGTTTAATTAATCTAATAGAGATATACGAGACTTTATTATCTTAATTAAATATTATAATTTATAAAAGTTTTGGAAAAAACCAACTATGATCTAAATAGTAATATATATATTTTGTTAGTCCTTCATAGGACATCTTTTAGGAACTTACATTGCGAAATTGATTTCAGGCACGCCGTTCTCCGTTATAAATGCTTTATCTGAGCTCGGCTATCGAGTTGTTTGTAGTACCGGAGAAGCCGAGATACTTTGGACATTGCAGCGGGAAAGTTAGTGCTATAAAAATGGGCCTTACTACAAGCATATTATATATCTAAATGTATATCTTGTGACTTAATACATATATGTGTCTATGAATTAAACTGTAGAAATTAGTGTCGATAAATCGATGAATTATCAACATCTTGCGACTTATATATACATGTGTCTGTGAATCAAACTGTAGAAATTAGTATCGACGAATCGATGAGATTTGCAATATCTTGTTTTTTTTTCGCATATATGAATGTTTGCCTAAAATTATGACTGTAACAGCGCTTCGGTGAAATTTTGTCACACATTTAAATGTATGTATGTGCGGACCAATTAAAAAGGGTTTATTTTTCAAAGATAATCGATTGTACCTTACGAAATTGGACGGTACGTATATGTGAAGTGCAACTTTAGATAGAAATAAGATATTCCATCTTTTTCCCTTAGGAAACTTACACGGTAGTGTAAGAAATCACATCTTGTACGAAATCACACAAATCACACAAGGATTCTTACGTTATCGAACGTGATATTTTGTGTACCGCAGCAATGTTGAGTTTCTTTTACAACTTTGAAAATGACGCGGTAAAATTGTATAATCATGATAAGACTGTTGGGGGAAGGGGGGGCATGATTTCGAAGATTGAACGTAAACACTTCTGCATGTAAAATAATCGTATTGTAGATAATAATTTAGCGGACGCGGAAATTTCGTCAGACCAAAGGAATGTGCATTGATTGCATTATATCTATTATATGCAATACGAAAGTATTAATTGTACAATGATTTGTGATATCTTTACCTCGTTGCGTGGAAACTGGGTTTTTTTATGCTTTTGAGGGTCTACGACGCGTGTCTCGTAGGATCCAGATTGGGCCAAATTGGTGCAACGTTGTTGCACCAAATTGGCCCGTACTGGCTTCAAGCTGTCTATATTTGTGGAGAACGAAATTTTATTATACGTGCAAATTCTATTTATACATACTATACCTTTATATAGTATAGTTAATAGCATAGTATTATCTAATAGTATCTATGTAATGTTTCTTTCCTACCATGTGCTTTAATAGGTGATTTATAGTACAATTATAGTACAATTTATTGTTGTTATATGCGAGATATTATTCCGGATCGATCACGGTCCAAAGAGTTTAAGAGTGTAAAACCAATAAGAAAAACAGCTGATACAATGTGGTGTTGTTTACTTGTGCTTTACGTCTGTCAATCTTATTGCAAAATTATTAATGCCGATCTAAAGATTATATTGCAAATTGTAAATTTTAATCGAAAGATCTTATTGCAAATTAAAAATGTTAATCCAAATGTTAATCTATTGTAATTGATGTTTCCTGTACTCGTTAAGAGCTGGATCTATTATGGAATCAAATGAAATTATAAAAAGCAATCGTTATCTCGTAGCGTGACAATTATATGTTAGTTTTCATACATAAGTAATAAAATCAAAAGTCTAGTTGGTGGCGGGAAAGAGTAATTTAGCCTCGAATTTAGCGTTATAATTTGACAGTCTGAATAGTTGATATAGGTCGTTTGCAGCGTTTGCGCAAAAAACATTCGATGCGACGAATTTTATATTTATGTATAGCTAATAGTTTCTTTCACACTTGAAGCTATATTTTGTACGTACGACAGTTATACACAATATACTCGGCGTATAATTGGACGTTGTACATGATCGTGTAATAATGTATAAGAAATAAATATACCGATAAAGAGTGCATTTTGTGTCATGAAATTTATACACGTCCAAAAATCTTGCCTTCTTTGAACTCGAAGCGATTTTTTCTTTTTCAAACAGATGCGTGCATATACTTGAGCTGGTGAAACTCAATACAGGGTTTTTAACAGTCATTTGCAGGTATAATAAACAATATGGAGCACTCTGACGATCACAAAACGTGTTGCGAATTGGGCAGTCCACGGTACAATGTCTGCCAGACTATAGACGAGATCAGTTTCGAACGTGGGATTTGGTCAGCAGGTAAATGAAAGTGTTGGTATGGATACTTATTTGAAATAAGATAGATATTATATAGTAAACGATGAAGAGAGCGTTATAAACAGACCGAAAATGAAAGGAACGGTCAGTTTGAACTGTGCACTCAGTTTCGGTCTTATAACGGCCTTACAGAGCAAATAATTCTAATATATAGAGAAATAATTCTACTTACTCTGTCATTATTTTATATATTTAGATGATTCGCGAAAACATAGTACAAATTTAAATGCGAAATTTATTGCGAAAACGTGTATAATTTTTGAAGCTAAGAAAAGTTATGGATTTATGCGCAATATCTATAGATTCTTAAAATCTAAGGGGAACTGTGCCCAATATCGCACTCTATTTAATAAAACTAAAATTTTTTTCGATTAAAAAATTAACTAAATCGGATCATTTTATTCTTAGGATTGTCGTAATGTGATCTCAATAACATGAATGTGTTCAACGTTTACTTTAATTAGTTTAATTATCTTTTCTGAAGAAAAACAAAAAAAGAGACAATATAAAAAAAAATCCTAATATCGCACCCTTATACATCTTTTAAAAATACAATTGTGACACACAATACATGGAAATAGACACAATTTAAAATAGGGTACATGAGATTGGTGAAAGTATCCCATTTTAACGATTAAGAAAGCCCATGGGGTTTCACGGACTATAGTGAGTGGGATGATGTGGTCAGGCTTCCCGCCTGACCGATTTACTCTCGGCAAAAGATCCCGTTCCTTATTGGACAGGAGGCTGAGGGAGCTTGAGAGGTATTCTAGAAGCAGACCAGTTAGAAAAAATGGGCGGAATAAGGAATACTCCTAAGAGGACGGAATTAGGAATACCACGTGAAGAAACATAAACGATTAAATCACAACCACGTATATTTTCAATTTATAAGAATAAAATTAGACACTATCACATATTTTTTTGAGAAATTGGTACATATAGCTTTTTTGTTGTATTAATAAACACAAGACTTTTGAAAAATTTCAAAACACCTCGTTCAAACTGTGACCTGCAACGCTATGCTTTATAACTTTATATCATATAGTTTTGACTAAAGTAAAACGAAAGAAGCGTTGTTCAACAATTTCCACTGCCCACCGACAGAATGCAACAGACACGTAACAGACTCAGTATCGTAGAGTGCGGAATTAGGAACAAGGGCGATAATAGGCACAGTTCATATTAACCCTTAAATGCCCCGTGGGGTCCAGCGGACCCCAGACCCTTTAGAATGAAATGTTTTCAAATGTTCTTGCCAAAAATGGAGCTCATGCTCCCATTGATGATGGTTGAGTGATTGACCTACCCGTTTGTACACTTAGCAGTACTCAGTTTACTTAATTTTTTATACTATGTTGAAATTGAAATTTTAACAATATAAGCATTTTATTCTCTTTTCTAAGTCTTGAACAACATTGAAAAAAATTTTCATAACCAAAGATAAAAAAATCAATGAGTAAGGAGACATCTTTCATGCTGGGGTCTTTTAGACCCCTCATGTCATTTACGAGATTCTTGAGAGGTGTGACATTTAAGGATTAATATTGTCAATTTAAGTATAATGGATCTACTGTTCTCCAACAAAAAGCTGAGTTCAAGACCGCGACAAATAATCGGTCTAACAATGAGTTGAAAAAGTATACAAAAATTCACACAGAAATATTATTAGGCTACCCAGTCTGACCGAAAATGACACATCTTTTCTAATTACATAATTGTAAGATTCATATCGATCCCGTTTTACTTCTTAGAATTTTATATTATTTTTACATTATTTATAATATTTTTTACGGTTTTTCGCTAAGGAATAATTGATTCCAAGTTTCGTCGGGAACGATTTTGCCATCAGAAACGGCGTTCTATCTGAGAGGGCCGGTAATGCACAAGTTCAAATTGGTTTTTGCCCCAGCTTTTCGTGCAATTTCTTTCAGCGTTGGAAGGTGACGTGGATCGCGTCAATAGGCTGCTGCGGAGGGGCGTCTTCGTCGATACGACGGACTCCGCCGGCTACACCGCGCTGCATTACGCAACGCGGGCCGGGCATGTCCGCGTGTGCGAGATTTTGCTGGAGCACGGAGCGAAGGTGAACGCGCGCACCCGCAGCATGAGAGCGACGCCTTTGCACCGCGCGGCCTGCGCGGGCCACGTTCAAGTCGTCGATCTGCTGTTGCGCCGCGGCGCGACGGCCGACTTGACGGACGCGGACGGTAGGACGGCCCTACACCGGGCGATCCCAACGGTAGCCGGCTTCGTCGAGGGCGTCGAGATCATTGAAAAACTGCTACCGATCACCGATCGCACCATCAGAGATAACCACGGGCGAACCGTCGACGACGCGTTCGAACGTTGGAAAACGACGGAGAGCGATAGCGAACGAGTAAAGATAACGGAGAGATTGTTTCGCGCGTAGTACTTTAGTCGAGAGTGCGGTAGGGCGAGAGAATCGACGACGAGAAAAAAATGTGTGTAATAGTACACTGCCACACCAAAGATTCAACGGACACTTTTGTAACTTGTAATTATTCAATTTCTTCTTAGAAGCAAGAGTGATAAAGATACTGTAAACGCGTAATTGTGTCAAGAGAGATTTATGATTCTTTTTTAGACACTCTTAAATAAACTGAAGTGAATCTCTATGATTTGTATGTCAGAAAGACTTCTGGCAAAGCCTTATCAACGCTCAAGAAGTAGAATAGAAAACCTGTATAATTTAAAGAGTAATTATTTCAAATTTTGATATAAAAAGAATTATACAATGTGATTAATAAAATGCCAGTCTCAAAAAGGGGAAAAAAACTTTTCCTGTAATGTCTACTTTGAATTTGCGAGAGATCAGATTCTCATTTCTTCACCATTATCAATTACATTTCTTTGGATGTCAAATTTAAGTTTGGGGATTCTATTTTTCGTGCTTTTTCAACGGCGAAAATTGTTACAACATTTAGTTTTATTTGTAACTCAAACTATACTGTCTCATTTTTCGATTATTACACTTTTGTACTTAAATGCGACCCATGAACCAGATTTTCATCCTATTGATTTAGCGCAATACGTTTGGTTGTTGTTCCGTTTATGTATTTAACTACTTTATTATGAGATTATTATACAACTTTTTATTTATTTTTGACTACTCGGTATTTATTTTTATCTACTCATCTTTTTAATTATTTTATGACATGTAAGTTTATCAGGTTTGTTCTGAAGAAGACTAGGTAAGTTAGTTATTCGAAACGTTAACTATTGATATCATTGACTATATTTACACTATTTGGTTAATTAGGTTAATTAGTTCTGGAGTTACAGACGTTTAAAATTTCGGAGATTTTGATCGCGTATAAAGCTAAGTCTAATCAACTGTCTAATCAACCGAATTTAAAAGAATTATATATGAAATAGGGGTAGAAAAGACTGAAAAATATAATAAAATTAGAAATAGATCGATATCTCCAAATTTTCGGAAGTTAAAGCTTCCTCTATGAGGAAGCCAAGTGCAAATTTCTAATTTGCACAATTTTTTTTTTTTTTTTAAATATATATCGATACTGTTCTGAAACAATTGATCGCCCACTATATGTTGCAACATGCGCAATATATTTTATCGTTATTTTAGAGCACTTAATTAGCACTAAATTATAGTGTACTTGTCTTCTTTATTTTACGCATATTCAAACTTATACTTACAGTTTGATAGGGTCACAAAGCATGTCAAAAATTAAAAATAAACTTTTTGACTATTTAGTCGCTCAGTGAACGGTTATCTGAATGCAATACCTATTAACATGACCTATTAACATGTACTTTTGTTTATTAACGGGAAATATAATTTTATTTTGACAATATACTTATATGATTCGAATACGAATCATCTGGATTCGAAATTTTCTAATAGTTCGAAT